TAGAATACATTTTCTGAATTTTTAATTTTGTATGTTTCCTAGTTTGTCATTTATTTTTTCCATAGTTCTCTCGATCCTTTTCTGATGGTTCCAATGTCCTTTCTTCCTCAGAAAGGTCTTCTGACCATGTATATTCGTCAAATTGTTTCTATTAGCCTTTCTTACTCTTCATGCTTACAGAGATTGTTGTCTCCATGGCATTGTGATGCAACTGTTAAATGTGGGGGATAGCTGGGTTGTGTGGGGTAACTGACTCTATCAAGTAGTTAGAGAAAACAGTCAAAACACCAAAGCAAATGCTGGTGTCCTTGTAGTGCTGATTGAGTGGGCTCTCACCTCAGCCACAAAGATCAGGGGAAAGACCGTATATACTCGTGTATAAGCCGAGTTTTTCAGCACATTTTTAATGTAGTTTTTGTGGTAAAATTAGGTGCCTCAGCTGATATTCAGGTCGGCTTATACTCGAGTATATATGATATGTGCCCAATGCCTGTATAGCACTTTGGGAGGGCTCTCAGCTCAGCTGGAGAGAGCAGAAAGTGAATTATGTGGCTGACTACCTTTTAGCACGGCTTTTGTGGGTTTTTGCCTCTGCCATGTAGTGCAGTGGGGGAGTATTTGGTCGGCATCCCTTTCATATAGTTCTACTAGAAGAGAGAGAGAAAAAATTTTTTTTCTTGAAAGTCTCTGTTATTCTGTTTGTCCAAGACTACTGGTGACAGCAGTGTGGTGAGCAGGAGAAACTTTGCCTTTTTACTTTATCCACTAGTTTGGTGAAGAAAAAAAGATTAAAAATAAGAAAAATTTCCCACATGGACTCTGTAGCCCAGAACATGTCATTGTGCTTGTGAGGAACATATACACAGACCAAGAGGCTATTATTTAAATATCTAAAGGTAGTACTAAATTGCTTAAAATTATGAAAGGTGTGCATCAAGTTTATAATAACTTTTTACCAAACTTAGTCAGTATGCATGTTGAACAAATAATTTGAGAGGCTGGGCTACAAGAAGAACAACATGCATCAGGACATAAGGAATGCTTATTTACAGCTGCAATATGCAAATGATACAAACTTGCTTGCTGAAATTAAGCAGGGCTTGAAGCATTTCCTGATGCAAATCCAAGACTGCAGTTTCAGTATGGACAGCAGTTCAATGTAAAGAAAATCAAAACCCATAGTAAGATGGAAGAAACCTAAATGCCCATCAGCAGAATTAATTGTTTTGGTACACACACACACAGTGGAATACTATGCCTCTGTAAAGGCCAATGATGAAACTGTAAAACATGACATGCATGGACTTGGAGGACATACACAGAGTAACGTTAGCCCCAAAAGGACAAATACTGTATGAAACCATTGTTAAGAAAACAATCAAGAATTTTTCTTTACAAATGAGACTTTGATGGCTGCCAGACATGGAAAGGAAAGAAGGAAACAATAGGTTAAAGAGTGGACAGGTATTAGTTAAGGTGTAAGGGAAGATAGTACCCTAGAAGAGGAATAGGAAAAAAAAGGCAGGACAGAGAAGCTATGGGGAGGTTTGAGAAGTTGTTATTCGATGTAAAAATTATTACTTAATCCAAGTTATAATATTGAATACAAAAATGGTATGGAAAGTAAACTCCCACTTGAGTTACAAGTTGTGATTCAATACCAACTTATACTTAATCCAAGTTATAATACTGAATACAAAAAACTATATGAAGTGTAAATACCCATCTGATTCACAATCAAAAAGAAGAAAAAAATAAACAAAACTAAAATGTTCACAATAGACCAATAGGAAAACATAATGATAAATGGAGAAAAGATTGAAACTTCAAAATATTTCATTCGACTTGGATCCATAATCAATGCTAAAAGAAGCACTAGTTAAGAAACCAAAGTATTGAATTGGGCAAATTTGCTACACAAGACCTCATTAAAGTACTGAGTCAATTTGAGGGCTAAGTTTTTCCTGAGACATGCCATGGTATTTTCATGTGCCTCATGCATGTGAACACTGGACAATGAATACAGAAGACTACAGAATTGATGCATTTGATTTATACGTTAGTAAAGAATATTGAAAGTACAATGGACTACCAGAACACATTGTTACTTGAAGAAATTCAGCCAGCACGCTCCTCAGAATTTAGACTTCTCACAGACTTAGAACAGGGAGATGAATCCCTGGAAAGGGCACCTGTTTAATAGGTCAGTGAAAAAGGGAAAGGCCACCCAAGGCACTGATTAACACAGTGCTTTCAACAATGAGCTAACACATAACAACTGCTGAGTATGGTGAAGACCACGCAGTGATTTGCTCTGTTACAGATACTATAGATTGGAAACAATTTGACAGTACAAGAAGTATGTCTAATTTTCAGTTGGCAGTTTTTGTTCAGATTTTACATTGACCTTTGAACCATTATGTGTGTGTATATATATATATATATAGTGTCAGATATGGATCCTGTTTCAGTTTTGCCTTCACTTCTTAGAGACTCTCTTCCCCACTTAATGAGTCTCAGCTCTTGGTCAGAGATAAAACCCCATGGGTAGATGGACTTACTTCTAAAAGTTTAATTCTGTTCAACTGAACTATGCCATTAGTTCACTAGCAGGCTGTGATTATCATAGCTACAGGTTTTGAGATCCAAGTATGAGAGGCCTCCTATACAGTCTTCTTCAGTAGTGCTTTTCTTATTCCAAATTCTCCTTTCCAAAACCTAACTCAAAGTAATGATTACCTTTGCACCTTTTTTTAAAAGAATGGGATGAAATCTGGATCCGGTTTGTATTAGCTCTTTAGATTGCCTTGGGTTGCACTGGCATTTTCCCCATGTTAACGGTTTTATCTTACTACCCGTAAGTAAGGTACATACTTCCATGTTGATCATTCTGGTTTCTTGTTACAGGCTGCAGTTCTAGGAAAGCAAAACCAATGATATTTGTATGTTTATGTATATAACCCAAAAAATCCAAACTCACTGCCATCGAGTTATCCTGACTCACAGAAGAGCAAACTGGGACACGTTTTTGCTTTGCTTGCTAACCAGGAGTCCGTCTTACTCACCTTCAAAATTTTACTATATTTTACTGCCTGGTCACAGAACTTGTTAGACAATCAGTCTCAGAGGCCAGATTTCAACATTCTCACTGACTTCGATAACTTTTGACAAAATATTAAGAAATAGTCTGGGCTTCCCTACATCAGATCTTCCTAGAGTAGAGGAGTCACTTAATCAAGCTGATTGTATCACCCAAGCCCTTACGGCTCCCCTCCCTCCACAACAGTCTCATTCAGACTCCTTCCACCCTCACCACCCCACCCACCAATCTTCCTTAGTCCACCCATCTAACTACAAACACATTCTCTGAACATAAATGGCAGATTTCATTTTCTAAGTCCCATCCCTGCCTCATAAATGTCTAATAAAGCCTGCCCCTGCAAGAGCTATCTTAATTTAAAACAGAGAACCTATAAACCTAACTTTGAAGTTAACAGATGTGATGGGTAGATGATTTTATGTCAACTTTAAGATTCATGAAAGTGTAGGGGTGGAAGCAACCTGTCAGGCAACACACAGCATAATGATGCCTCCTTGGGTGTATGGCCTTCTTATAAAGGTAGGGGAAAGGGTGTGTGTGCAGAGACACGAATGGACAGAATGGAGCCTCTCCCTCTGCCTCTTCGTCTTCCTATTTGCTGGGATTCTGATGCCGACAAGGAGAGCCACCAGTGCCCTATATTCCACATCAGCTTTGTGATCTTCCTGCATTCTGCATCATCATCTACTACAGGAGTCTGAAGAGAGACTTAAGGACTAACATCAGACTTATGGACTTGAGTTGGACTGGGTTGCTTTCTTGTTATATAATTACCTTTTGATATAAAACTCTTTCTTATACACAGATGAGTGTAATTGGATTTGTTTCTCCAGACAACCTGACCTAACACCATCGATTTTAAATTATTTTTCAAAGTCTGGACAAAACTTCTTAACCAAGTGAAAATCTGTATCAAATAAATTTCTTTACAAAAAGATAACTTTCCTGGCAATTTTAACTGCCATTGTTCATTTCTGATATTGCTATCAAAAGCGTTTTTAATTTTAATTCGGTATTATTTTAAAAGCAAAGCTTAAGTATTAAGCTCTATCTTTGTTTTCCATAACTTCTAAACTCTGCCTTTTTCCATGAGCATTTCAAAATTGAACGTATGAAAAATCAATGGCAATTAATAATATCTTTGAGGCAACATAAAAAAACCACTGTGGCTCTATGATATGTACTTTGAAAACTTTATTTAATGCACAGAGAAACTTACTAGTAAAGGAAGTAATAACCCAATTTTAATTCAGGGTTCTGTCACCAACTTGTCATGTGACCTAGAACATTTCATTTTATAAAAATCGTATCATAGGTGATGATATCCAAAAAGCATTTTTCAATTGAGAGACATTCTGGATGTTCAGATGCACTCTATCTGACTACTCTAACATCTACTTATTAAAAGGATATGCTTTGCTGAAATGTTATCAACAGTAATGGCATCAATCCATCTACCACAGATAATCCTGACTGTCTACACAATGGCCACTGGTCCTTGCTCTATGGCAGTGCCTTGATTTGGTTTGTTTATCTTTCTCTCCTTGGATACATTGACTGACTTATCAAAATGACCTTATTCTCTTTTCCAGTAATTGATTTAGGGTCAATGATAAATAAAGAAAAGATTTTCCTGGAAGCTTATGGAAAAGGTCTATACTCTTACAGACAAGAAAAAGAAAAGAAAACCAAAATGACCTTTCTGCTAAAATCTCCATGGTCCCCTTAAACTGCAGCAATTAACCTATAATCAATCACAGAACAATTAGAGGAGAGCACAACAAAAATGATGGAGACCAGAAAGAAGAGTTCTAGGTTCTTATTAGCAACATTGACTTGCTGAGTTTACCAACATTTAGAAGATCTCAAAACTTTTGACCAAATAATTCTAGAACACTTATTTCTCTTAAAATAGCTTAATTTCTGTATGTTAATATTTTATTCAAAAGACTTCCATTTTAAACATCTGTAAAACATATGGGAGCACACTTCAGTGATACATCTTAGAATATGAAAATAAAAGCGTAAACAATACACAAAAAAATCCATCACCCTCAAAACAAAAAGACAAAACACTGATACTAATTTATTAAGCACACGTATGTATGTTCATGTTCTACTTTCCCTCTAGGCAGTTTTTTAAAAAAACATTTCAAAGAATTTTGAAAGGAACTAATCTTTTAAAATATAAAATATAAAATTTACTACCTAGGTTTTGAAAACCCACAAAACAAAAAGGAAACATCCAATTACTAGCTGACACTGTCATGCTCAAATCAGTTACACAACAGAGGGAAAAAGCTATAACGACACTTTTAGTAGGTAAACACCAATTCTAAATATCACCACTGTTATTTTCAATTGTGTTGAAAATTGTCTTATTGCTGAACTGTACATGATAAAGTTTCTTTGGTAACTTTTAAACTACTAACACAATTAAGCAACTATAAAGATTTGAATTAACTCAGTATTTAGAATTTTCAACATTCCCAGCTATTTAAATTTCTAACAGACGCTAGAATAGGAAAGCTTCCCAACATACCTAATGCAATTTAACAACAAAGAAACTATTAAATCACTACGAAAAGCCTTTGAGTTCTATTTGCAAGTCTATAGTTAAATTCAAATACCAGTGAACTAACAGTAGGTTCAATTTATTTTAAGATCTTCTGTGATAAAGGACGAAAATAATGAAGCAACTAATATCTAGTAAACTGTCAGTTCTTATGAAAAGATGTTTCATATGAATTTAAATAGCTTAAATGTAACCAGAATCTATTATAAATTCTTACTATAATACCTCATAAAACTTAAAGAATAACAGCTTATTAATTTTTGTATTTTTCCATGAAAGAAACCTATTTTGAAAACTTAGCACAATAATACTAAGACATCTAAAGAGGAAGCTCCAGTCATGATGTACATCTACGAAAACTTGGTATAGATAACAAAACCACTAGTTTAAATTACAAACTGGTTCCACTAAATATTGGTACTCATATTCATACAAATCAAATTAAAGGAGGCACAGCAAGAAAGTACACTCTGAAGAATGTTTACATCACCAATCAATAATGAGGGTTTTATGCATATATGCAAACTTTTTATACAAAGTTTTATGAATAAGATAGATGATTCATTTGTGTAACTTTATGTACAGTTTGTATAAATTTAAAATAAGCACAACTGAAAATATTTCTAAACTCCACAATAAAGTCAAATGAAATACTAAATAATAGTCTTACAAATTGGTCTCTCTTAAGAGTTCTCAAAAGAATAAGTAAATTCATTCTAAGAAATACCCTCTTCTTGATCAATCATTTCTGTTTTAACCGAAAACACATCTGCCAACATATGCTTTGGGATTTCTGAACCTCTGACTTTCAAGGCATAACAAGCATTTTCCACTTTGGCCAGACTTTGTTTCAAAGTGTATAGTTTCTTAGAAACTTCATAAGGTCCAGTGTTGCCAATGAATGAAAACCCATCATAAACCTGCCGTAAAAACTGGCTCACTTCAAAGGGGGTGTCAATGTCCCCATTCCCCACACTGTTAATGCACATCCGCATCAATTCTCCAGTCAAGTCAGCCACTCCCAGAAGGTAATCAACAGGTGTGACTTTCAGGCTCCAAGTACCAAGCTGCTTCTCCTGTGCCTCAGAGGAGGGCTGGTAAAAAAAAAACACAAAAGGCACAGAAAGAAAATATAATGTGAAGAAGAGCGAACATGGCTATATTACATGTATTATATGTAAGGTACAAAATCAACAGGAGAGCAATTATACTAATCTCGAAATTAAACAATCTATTTTGATAATGATCATTTATTTAGAGTGTTACAAGAGGAAATCATGCCCCAAGTAGAAATCATGCCCAATAGCTGACTTTGATATTTTAAAAATCTAATACGTTATTATAAAATGTATTATGTGTCCAACATCATTTATCATATAAAATTAAGGGGGTTTAATGATTGTATGACTTTCGACACTTACTGAAATGACAACGAAAGCACACCATTGCTGATCCGCTCATGTATTCAGAGTCAATTATAGATTCTTCTTGGCCTCTTTCCACACTCCAGAGTTTCTTTCCATACACAGCACTGACCGCCATGATTTATTGCTCTCTACAATCTTTCAATTGCCTTAGACTCCTAGTTTGCTACTGTACTTGTCTAGCAATATCACAATCTCTCGGTCTTCAAATCAATACTAAAATCTATCCTGGTTGGCCTTTATTCAGGTGACTGAGTATTGAGTTAAAAAAAAAATCACAACTATATAGAGTTTGTACTACTACAAATATCTTGTCAATCCTTTTACTTAGACAATTTCTTCCTCAGTCCCTTATAACACTTTAATCCCTATGCAATCTCAAACTTCATTCACAGTAGACAATCTTGACTAATTTTACTATGATGGCATAATCTCTCTCAATTACCTTTACACCTACAAAAAAGCTTATTTATATTCACATCCATCTTTATCTTCTATCCTCCAATCTCAGGATGAGTTGTCCCTCCTCTCGTTTCAGGTTAACATTTCCAAATGACCTTGACCCATTATCTCCTCCCACCTCTTCCAGGACTTTGCTTCATAAGGTATGTGCCCTTGAGCAAGTTATTCCATCTCTCTAAACCTCAGTTTCCTCATCTGTAAAATGGGATAACAGTACTTACCCTTAGAGGTTTGTTAAAAGGGTTTAATGAGATAACATTTACCAAGTTTTAGGCACAATGCCCAACACAAAAGAAACTCAATAAATGTTAGCTGTCATCACCATTACCATCATTAGGTCAATCTTACAGCTCCATATCAACTTCTCCCTCTACACTGGGTTCTTTTTGGAAGAGATAATACCTAAAAGGCTCATAGGCTGTAAGGGAGTTGGCAAGACAAAATTGCAATTACATCAAATGACACTTTAAGTAGCAGAAATTGCAAAGGAGTGAGGGTGAATATTGTGCTGTTTATTTGAGTAACTAGTTAGGTATTTCTTTGAGTGCAGTTTAAAGTAAGAAATACTGCAAGACATACACTTAGGGACAGAATGCCACCTTTAGCAATGTAAACTTTGTCACTGAAATCTAAATTTAAGGAGGTAACAGTCAAATTTAGGTTTTATTTAAGACCACTTCCATTGCTCTGCATCTAATATATGAACCCTAATATTGTTGAAGCTTTTCAGATACCATCTGTCCCATCCCTCACTGTCAAGAGAAAGAAATGAGATCCAAGATGCCTGAGAGGTCACACAGCTGCTAAAAGGCAGACTTAGATAACCGTAAAGTTCCTTCTCAATTATTCTGATACCTTTTAAACTACATTATGAAACAAAAGTACCAGTTATGTTTTATTTCTATTAATTATCGGAGACCTGGACTTCAAAGGATACATTATTGCAGTAGTGTAGAGGGTGGTTCACAGATCATTTACAGAAATAACCCTTGTTTAAAGAAGTATTTAATTTTCCTTACAATTAGACTGAAAATTTCTGTGCTAAGAAAGATGCTGATACCAAAGTGCATGCTAAAAACTAAGTTTGTCAAAGGAACACATTCTAGTTTTTAAAAACTTTTTATCATGTAGTCTGGGTTTAGAGAGCAAATTTGTTTCCGAATCAATGAATAAACATTTTGTTTTGTGAAATTGGATATAATCCCCTCAATGACACAGCACTTTCCCCATTTCTTCCCTAAAACCATTCACCCTTCTTTTCTGACCCTCCCAGGCTTCTGAGCTTTGTGGGTTTTTTGGTTTTTTTAAGCAAATGCTGCCATTCTGGCCATGTGTGGTTGACTGCTGAGAGCACACTGGTCCTGCTGTTTTCGTTTGCTTTATAGGGCCCAGTGATTGCTTGGCTGAAAGTTTATCCCTGGGGGTAGAGTTCAATGTCAGGACTAAGGGATCTCCATCTCCAAGGGCTGGTGTCTTAAGGATTCCACCAGTCTCTATCAGACCAGTACGTTATGTCTTTTTTATGATTTTGGTCCCACATTTTTTTCTCCCTCTTTTCTGTTTATGTATAACTTCATTTTAGAGACTAGGAAAAAAGAAACATAGCTTAATTATTGTCTTTAAAGGTGCATGCTTAAGTATTTAGAGGTAAAGTATAACATCTGTAATTTACTTTAAAATGCTTTAGCAAAATGTTAACTGCTGAATCCAGTAGTGGGCATTGGTTGTTCACTGTATCTATTCTTTCTAAAGTTTAAAAAAGATACATATAAATTAACTCATTTTGACAATACTCCCAATAAGTCCGTCAGAGATAAGTAGTTTTCCCAATCAAATTCCCAGAATTTTCAGCTCCAAAAATGTTTAGCACTAAAAGAAAAACTTTGTCTGTGTTCTTAATGTGAAATGTGCATATAAATACTTCAGCAATATAATCTTAAAACAATTTATTATGCAAATCCTGAAAATAGTGTATTTATTCTCAAGTTTGTTTCTCTCTACCTTTCCCTTTAATATTTTCAGTCTGAGTTAGAGATAACTAGAAAGAAGCTGTGGAAGAGTTACCAAATGGTAGTAACTTTCCGAGTGTTATTTAAGAAGCAGGGTTAAATAGGCTTACCTTATTTCTTTCGTTATTCAACAGTCACTAAATAAATAAAAATATATAAAGAAATTTGCTTCTAAAAATAAATTTCCTTAATAATAATTCAGAAAGTTGGGAAATACATTGCTTCCTTAAAGTTATATTTGTCTGATCAAATTAAGCCTTTATTTTAGAAATGTCTATAGATTTTTTTCATCTCCTGCCTTTCCACCCTAACTCCTTGAGTGATATCTGAAAATTAAGGAAAAGAAGAAAAATATAATGGAGAAAAAAATTCCACATCTTACTCATGTCTTTAAGTGTATTGATATTTCAGGAGGTTAACAAAGATTCAAAATAGTTTATCTCATATGTAAATGTAGTTATCTTGAAATCCAGTGAAGAAAAGTATTATTTTATTTAAAAGTCAGGTGCAAAATTTCTCTTAATTCAGAAGAGGTATATAAACCTCATATATAAATATTATGAGCTAAACATATAATTAAGAGTTCTCATTTCTACACTAACAACTATTAAAACCATTTCAAGGTCTATACACTGTCTAATTAACCTTTAAAATAATCCTTTGAAGTAGATAACCAGATAAAGGTGAACCTAGTAGCACACTTTAATAACACTAGCCGAGGGGCGAAGATCACAGCCTTTGATTCAAGTTATCTGATTTCAAATTCTTGCTGTCACACTTATTATATATATGACATTTGGAATGTTTAACTCTATAAAAGCCTGTATCCTTCTCTGTAAAATAAGGGTGAAGACACTTCGTAAGGTTAATAAAGATTAAATGAGATGGTGTTTAAAAAGGCACAGTTGAATTAGTCAATGATTAAATTTTGTTAAGTACTGTTTCCCCATAACTAAAATATGCAAAAAGCCTAATTTTTAGTTGGAAACCTATGAACCTACTTTAAAGAAGACATTTTCCATCTGAATCACATTAGCTAGTATATCTCCTATAATCATTTCACTATTAAACAAATTACAATGTAAATGTAAAGTATGGTTTTAAATTCTTACGGTCTTATTTTCTTTCCCAATGTCTTCTGTTGTAAAAATCAGTTGTTTATTAATTTCATCCATACTTATTAGTGATCGCGTTTTGATAAAGTGTTGAAAAGACACAGCCTCCACATACTCCTGCAGTCCTGAAAAACCAGTCAAGAAAATAACTGAGGTCACTAAATTTATAGACATTTCATAGTAAAAAGTTTCAAATTTATCACCTAATTCAACCAAGAAGGTCTGGGTAGTACAAGTGGGTTACCTATAACTTCTAACCTAGAAGCTGGCAGTTTAAAGTCACCTAGTTGTACTGTGGAAGGGCTAGTGATGACCTGTTTCCCTGGAGACTAAAAACTCATTGCTGTCTTAAGTTGATTCCGACTCATGTTAACACAATGTATAACAAAATAGAGCTGCCTCATAGGGATTTCCTAGGTATAACATTGACAGTGGAAGATTTGCAGGCCCATCTCCCCTATACCTGTCAATAGGTTCAGTGGAAATTCAAGAAAATTCTATGGCACAGTTCTACTTCATAACACATTGGGATCATGACTCAAACTGACTTCCTGACAACACAAGTTTAATTGACACCTACAATTAATGCCAGCACTCAATTCCTGGAATTCAAGCAATTACCTGGGTGATAGATGATGTGGATCAGCACCAAAAATAACATACATCCTGAAAATAGACTATTTCAAAGATAAAGTAGTCTGAGTAGTTATGTCTTAAAAATCTACGCTTTCTCATAGAGCAATGTAAAATAATTTAAGAATGAATCCTAAGGAATTTTAAAAACTTAAAAATCCTAGAATTGAAGAACTGCTTATTCTATATATGTTGATAGGCTTTGTGAAATAAGAAATTTTTTTCTTCCTTAAATACCAAAATATACCACTGATATAATCAAACGAGACATAAAAGTTACAGATCAGCTAGATCATTCTTGGGAGTTAATAGTTTAAAATTTTGAACCATGCAGATAAAAATGCCAAAATACATAATTTTGGCTTGGCTTAGGCTCCTAATATTTCAAAATAGATGTAAGCTAAACAACAGAAAATGTCTTTGTGCCTTAGCATTTTACTTTTTTAAAATGGGAGCAATATAATTTACATTAGGTGTAAACACCAAAAAAAAAAAAAACTTACACAAAATTTAAAGTAGTTTGGTAAAGGTCAAAATAGGTCTATAAATACTTATTCAAGTACTTAAAAAAAAAAACCTATCTACAGATACAGTCGATTATTATTTTACCTTACTCGTTTTTATTTTACAAACATATTTACCAGGTTTAGTCTTTTCCAAAGGTTTGTTGTAAATAAGGGAAAAGATAATACATTTGATTACCAAAATCATAGAATTCTCACTATTTAAGCTGTCTCTAGGCTTTTGGTGGAAAAATCCCGCTACTTATCCATTTAATTACCCATGAGCCAAAACTCACTGCAGACCAGAAACCTTACAGGTCAGAGTAGAACTGCTCCTTGGGTTTTCCAAGAGTATAAATCTTTAAAGGAAAACAGTAGCTGCGGGGTTTGAATTGCCAATTTTGCAGACAGCAGCCCAACACTTACTGCACCAAACATTAGCTGACAATAAAAACCAGATTTAGAAGCAGCAATGTGGGGGAAGCTGATGGTTTTTATATCATTACCTGAAAATCACATGAGGGGGGGCTTCAAGAAGAATAAAAGTGAAATTTTCCCACTAACTTTTGAAGCCCACTTGTATTAGGGTCAAGAAAAAAAGCAATGAAAGAAAACTTAATGAAAATATCCTGAAATACTTTTTTTAAATAGTGGTTAAAAATACATAATAAAGAACACTTCAACTCAAGTTCAATGGTTTCTAAGCAAAACCTCCCCTTCTTTGCTCTCACTCACCATGGCTACCAATCACTAAGAATTTTTGGTTTCTATACATAAGCCGTTCTCAGGTTCCAAACTTTACAAATCAACCTATAAAGCTTATATTTCAAATTACATAATGGCACATCACAATGAATAGGTACTATTTTATGACAAGAATCAAAACATTATTACAGTATTGTTATGTTAGAGATGTTTCAGTGTACATGGAAGTTTATCTGCTATGCTTAGAATTGTATACTCTACACTACATGTTAAGAAAAACATTTGACTAGCTGGTATTAGATAAAAGCCAAAACCAACTATTCTACTTTACATACAAATTTGATTGAGAGAGAGACTTATGAATGGAACTCCTGATCTGAGGACTGCCTGTATCAGAGAGCTTCAAACAGTGTGTAAAAATAAAAATCTGTTGTTAGATGTCACTGAATTGATTCCAACTCAAAGCAACCCTACGTACAATAGACAAAACACTGCCTGGTCCTGAGCCATCCTCACAATTGTTCCCATGCCTGAGCCAATTGCTGCAGCTACTGTGTCAATCCATCTTGTCAAAGGCCTTCCTATCTTTCACTGCCCGTCTATTTTTACCAAGCATGATGTCCTTCTCCAGGGCCTAGTCTCTCCTGACATGTCCAAACTATGTGAGACAAAGTCCTGCCATCTTTGCCCTGAGGAGTATTCTGATTATACTCATTCCAGGACAGATCTGGTTGATATTTCAGAAGTCCACCGTACTTTCAATATTCTTCGCCAGCACATTTCAAATGCATCTGTTTTGTTTTGTTTTTTTAACTCTTTTTTTTATTCACATGCATATGAGGCAATTGAAAAAATCTTAGCTTGGTTCTAGTGCACCGTAGTCCTCAAATTAACACCTTACTTTTCAGTATTTTAAAGAGGTCTTGTGCAGCAGATATATTCCATACAGTGCTTGACTTTATCTATTGACTGCTACTTCTATTAGCATTAATTGTAGATCCAAGGAAGGTGAAATCCTGTATAACTTCAATCTTCTGTTTATCATGTTACCTAAATTATTGGTCCAGTTATGAGGATTTTGTTCTTCTTTACATTGAGTTGTAATCCATACTGAAGGCTGAAATCCTTGGTTTTCATCAGCAAATGGTTCAAATTCTCCTTGCTTGTCAAAAGCATGTATCATTTGCATGCTGCAAGGTGATAAGTCTGCCTCTAATCCTGATGCTGCATACAGATGGTGAGAGAATACAACTTCAAAACACACACATATCCTGATTTTAAACCATGAAATTTAAACCATGTTCTGCTTGCACAAATGCTTCTTGGTCCATGGATGGGTTCCACATGAGCATAATGAAGTGTTCTGGAATTACCATTCTTCTCATTGCTTGCTATGATCCACACAGTTGAATGCCTTCACACAATTAACACAAGAAAACATCTTTCTAGTATTCTCTGCCTTCAGTTAAGATTCACCTAACTTCCACAATGATATCCTTTGTTCCACTTCCACATCTTCCGAATCTGGCCGGGACCTTGTCAATGTACTGCTATAACCATTATAAAATATTCAACATTTTACTTGCACGAAATATTAATATCATTCTACTATTTGAGCATTCTGTTCGATAACTTTTCTATGGATATCACATAGCCAAATATTCATCTCTTCCAGTCAGTCAAGAAGCTGTCTTACAAATTTCCTGGCGTAGATGAGTGCCTCTACTGCTTCATCAGTCTGTTGAAACAGTTTAATTAGTGTTCCATTAATTCCTGGAGCCTGGTTTTAGGCTAATGCTTTCAGTGCAGCTTGAACAACTTTCAGTATCATTGGTTCTTGCTCATGCGGGAACTCTTGAAGTGGTGGAATGTCGACTGATTCTTTTTGGTACAGAGGGTCTGTGTATTCTTTCCATCTTCTTTTGATATTTCCCACGTCATTCAATATTTTGCTCTTGGAATCTTTCAATACTGCCACTCGAGGCTTCAATTTTTTCTACATTTCTTTCGGTTTAAGATATTTTCTAACTCCAGGTCTTTGCACAGTTCATTATATTTTATTTTGTCTTCTTGAACTGCCCTTTGCAAGTTTCTGTTCCTTTTCTTTTAATTGAAGTAAAATATTCATTTCTTCCATTTGCCTTAGCTACTCTACAGTTAAAAGCAAGTTTCTCAGAGTCTCTTCTAACATCTACTTTAATCTTTTCTTCTTTTTAATGACCTTTTACTTTCTACGTGTATGATATTATCCCACAGCTCACTGGATCTTCTGTCATTAGTATTCAACACATCAAATCTATCGACACGTTCTTGAGATTCAGGGGGGTTATACTAAAGATAGCATTTTGGCTCTCCTGCACTTGTTTTCATTTTCTTCAGCTTCAACTTAAACTCATATGAGCAAGTGATGGTCTGATCCAGAGTTGGCCCTTCGCCTGGTTTTAACTGCTGTTATTGAGCTTTACCCATCATCTCTTCCCACAGATACAGTCAACTTGATTTCTGTGTATTCCATCTAAGAGTCCACGCGTATAATGGCCATTTGTTATGTTGACAAAAGGTATTCGCTAGGAACAAGTCATTGGTCTTGCAAAATTCTATCATGAAATTCCCAGCTTCATTTCTATCACCAAGGCTATATTTTCCAACTACTGTTCCTTCCTGTTTCCAACTTTACAATCCAAATACCAGTAATTATCAATGCATCTTGATTGCATGTTTGATCAATTTCCAACTGAAGACTTTGATAGAATTCTTCCATTTCTGCTTCACTAGCTTTAGTGATTGGTGCATATATATGACTAACAGTTGTACTATTTCCTTGTATGTGCATAGATATTATCCTATTACAGACAATACTGCATTAGTAGCTGGATCTTGAAATGTCCTTCTTGACAATGATTACAATGCTATTCGTCTTGAATTTGTCATTTCCAGGAAAGTAATCCCCATATGATTTTTTAATTCAAAAAGGCCAAGGCCAGTCCATTTCAGTTCACTAATGCCTAGGATATATATCTATCTTTATGTGTTCCATTTTTGACAACTTCCAATTTTCCTAAATTCATACATTATACATTCAATGTTCCAATTATTAATTGATGTGTACAGATGGTCTTCTCATTTTGAGTCATGCCCCATTGGCAAATGAAATTCCCAATGGCTTTACTCCATCTACATCAAATCTACTTGGAAAAGGCAGCTCTTCCTCAGTCATATTTTGAGTGTGTTCTTATCAGAGAGACTCACCTTCTGGCATAATCTCTGGCAATGTTCTGCTTCTA